ATGATTAAAAATATATATATGCTTCTGTTGGTTGTAAAGGCACGGCGAACAAGATATAGATGAATCTGGACGCAAACTAGAGACATCAAATGAGCCTGAGAGTGACCACGAGGACCCCTGGTGGAGCGACGGTTTAACACTGGCTGCTGGGCTGCTAATCAAAAGGCTGCAGGTTGGAACCTACCAAGGAGCTTCCAGGGACAAAGATCGGCGATCTGATTCCATAAAGCCTTAAGGGGCAGTCCTACTCGGTCCCAGGGGTAGCTCTGACTCGGCAGTCCACCCGGGACATCCAACAATAACAACCATCAATGCAGTGCTGTCACCTCGCATGCCCACAGGAGACGCAAAGTAGACCTGAACGGCTCTACTCACACGTCACCAATAAAGGTCCAACCTTCCTCTGTCTGGCACCAAACCAAAACAGACAAACTCACTGCCATCAAGCTGATGCCAGCTCTTAGTGACACGATAGGGCAGGATAGAATGACTCCAGTGGGTTTCCAAGACTACAACTCTCGATGGGAGTGGAAAGCCCGTCTCTCTCTCAAGATGCTGGCTGGTGGTTTGGAACTGCTGACCTTGCAGACCACAGGCCAATGAGTAATTGCCATACAACCAGGGCTCTTTGTGTTTAGTAAACAGGAGATGAAACTTTTAGAAAAGTAAAGCGTCTTACCGAGTTGCCCAATCACTGCTGACAAACTCTTTGACATGGGGTGTGAGGAAAGAGTAGGTGGAGGGGTGTCCTCAACGTCTGACCTCAAAAGTCCATGGCAGACTCCCACAAGGCAGTCAGGCACACCTCCATCTTCCATCTCTTTGCATCCTACTCTGACACAATCCATCCCTCCCCCAGCTCTGTTTTTTCACCTAAATTCAATCATTTGTTACACTGGTCACACAGCTCCCACACAGGATACTCACAATTATGGAGTGCCGTTAAGGAAGTCAACAGGTTACAACTCAGGTGAGAAATGCTCAGGATACAGTTGTTCAATCTGGCCGGCAGGCAGGCCTCTCTCTGATTCACCAGTTACCAGTCACTTGGCCTGTCCCCCCGCCCCCACACACACTCCCCCCTCTGCCTGAGCAGTTACAAACTTCTTTTAAGGCTGCCAATAAATACCTAAAGGGCATGTCACTCTCACAATCATCCTCAAAGCAGACACTCAACTCCCCCAGGTGAGTGTCCCAAGGCATCCTACTCCACAAGCCAGCTTCCTGCTCAGCAAGCTCAGCTTTGCTTGCTCCAGGCCCAGGAAGTCCACTGCTCGGTCTCCTGCTCTGGCACCTGGTTCTGCTCCCTTTGAGCTGCCAGGCCTCTGGTGTCAAAACCGGCTCCTGGATCAAGCAGGTTCAATGTGCAGAAACCGTGGGGTCCTAAAGGCACTCCCTTTTACTGGTAATGAGATTCCCCCTTTCCTGATTCTGAGATGGCTCACTTTATACTTTTTACTGGTAGCAATCACTCACACCTGAGTCAGAATCCAATCAATATCTTCCCCCACACATATGTACCTCCTGACCCAGCCCCATCAGGTAAAAGGTGGTCTTTGGTGAAAAGTAACAAAGACTATGGCTAGGGGAGCCAATTTGAGTAACTCACTGCATTGTACAGTGAGATGGGTAAAGAAAGATAAAAACATTTGCCGTATGCAATGACTTCTATAAAAGATACACATTCCCTGGGCCTATCATATGCAAATTTACCACAGCAGCCTTACACAATTTTACGAAAACCAATGTCAAAGAATTGTCAGTTTTCAGAAATCTGCACACTCAAGAAACGTCTGTGAAACCATCCAGATTGTTTTCCTGAAGCAACACATTTGCACACAAATTCCACACAAACCCTGTGTCTGGCAAACACAACTCCGGATGTCTCCCCTTCCCTCCTCCACGCCTCCCTCCCCAGCACTCACAAACAAACAGACAAGCTTGATTTCGTTTACAAAATTATGCAGAGTGCTGCTAATGGAAAACTACCTTCAGAAGCTTTGACTTTTCACTTTTTATGAATGAGGGAAGTGATTTCTTTTAACTACATTGCTGGAATATTTTCACTCTCATTTCTATTCTAAGTACACTGTTTATTATTCTTCTCCCAACCTCTTCTGGCCCTTCCCTCACACATTTCGAAGTCACCTTCAAGCCAACACTCAAAAGTGGCAGTCCATAAAGGATACGGGCAGCAGGCTAAGGTCTCACACCCTCTCCTGCTCTTCACACCCCTTGACCCAGTCTAAGAAACACTGAAGTCTGTTCTTTGGACTTGTTGCACATGCTTTTTATTTTTGTTTCAGGACAAATGCATGGCTTTTCAATGCAGTTTGTCATTGGATTTTTGAATGCATTGTTTTCCACCCAAAACAATTTTTTTTTGGTGTGTGTTGTGTGTGTGTGTGTATAAGAAAGAGCTTTATATACAAGAGCAACTGAATATTGAGAAAACATCCCAGCCTAGTGCAGATCGAGTCCATAATCCAATATTAGCCTATATGTCCCATACCAATCTATGAATTCCTCTTCAGACTCACAAAACACATGCAATGACACCAAATACAGGAAGATCAGAGGCCACTGGGTGGAATGTCTTGTGGATCCAGTGGCAGTAGAGGCATCTCAGCGCTGGCAGGGGTCTTCATGTGGCTTTCAGCTCCAGGGCTCTAGTGTAGCTCCATGTGTCTTGTCAGCAAGCATGCCTCACAGTGAGTGAGCGCAATCTTTAACCTAATTTGAACTCGTCAGAATGTTAACGGATAGAGTAGCCAGTGGCATATACTAACTCCTGTCTGCAAGACTGGAGTAGACTGCAATTTTCCACTGGGGAGTTTATCCTGATTTATGGATACGTGCTGGTCACCTCTGCTCCAAAGAATGTTGCCTCTTTGAGAAGGTCCTCTGTATGAGCCCAGATAATGACAATCCTGGAGCTGACCTAGTACAAACAAGCACAATCCAAGGCACTGGCCAAGCAGCGGAGAGAAATCTCCAAGACACCAACTTCCCCTTTCACTGGTAGTCAGGGATATGGGAGACCTTGCAATCCACGAGCCATAGTTGGGAAAGTGACAACTCTTCCCCAGGACAAACAAATAAGCAAACTCATTGCCATCCAGTCAATTCTGAGTCCTAAAGAGTCTATAAAGGCTGAGTAAGACTAGGACTGGGTTTCCAACACAGTAAAAAACCTCATTTTTCGCCCACCAAGAGGATGGTGGTTTCCAGAGCTCTTGTGACACCCAACTCGCTGCCGTCGAATAAATTTCGACTTATAGTGACCAAGACCATAACTGTTTATAGAAGTCCAAAGCCTCAGCTTTCTCCCTCAAAGCACCTAGTGGTTTCAAACTGCCAATCTTGAGGTTGCAGCCCAATGAGTAACTTACCATGCCACCGGGGCACCCAGGGTGTCTTCATCTCTCCGAGGCTCCAGCTGAGTGAGCACAGGGCCCACCGCCCACCCCAAGGGCTCAAGATGCTGCCTCTCAATCAACAGGTGCTGCGAGGGAGCTGCCCTCCCCCACCGGCCTATCCACGCTTCCTCCTCCCCGCGACCCCAACGCACTGCATACCCATTCCGGTGTGTGTGGCATCCAGGCCACAGACCTCTCGGGAGGACCCTGGCCCAGCTCAGCGCCACACCCCCAGACCTACGTCCCCACGAGAGCCCTCTCTGGGGAGCCAGGGCCCACCTGGGCAGGTCCACTGGGACGCGAGGTCCCCCAGACACAGGCGTTTCTGGGTGACCAGCAAGACCATCCAAACACAGGTCGGACCCTGGGAGCTGCATCGGCAACCCTTCCCAAGTCCCCAAAGCGATCGCGCCCGCAAAGGCAGAGGAAGGAGAGGAACGCGCAGTTTCCCAGGGACGGAGTTAGGGTAGGGTGCATAGGGGTGAGTCCCGGGCACTCACCTCCAGCCACCTCTGAGCCTCGGCGAACGCCACCGCGCAGTCGGCCTCGGCCTCC